TCAAGGGGGAAAAGTTGAGCTTTTTTATTTACTTTTTTAATTTTTTGCATTTCTTGTTAAATTAATACATTTCTCTTATTAATTGTGATTTTAAAAAGAACAATTGAGTTTTTTTATGTACACCTAAGATTATTGAAATTTTGTTGAATTATGCATATTTCTGTCACTCAATATATTTTACAAATTATGTAAAATGTTCATTTTTGTTAGATACAACTTAATCTTTTTGGCATACTTATACTAAATATTCTACAATGAACATTAATAATGATTAAGAAATCATTAAAATGTGGGTGATATTCATTTGGATGGGGATTTCAAGTCTATAAACAGAATCATAGCCATTAAAGCAGTAGTAACAGTAAATGCCAGAAAATTTTATTATATGCAATATGTAGATAATAAAAATATTCAAAATTATTGCAATGTTGCTATTGCAAATTTAAAAATTTTTACCGACCGTATTGCATGGAAAATATACTGGACCTTATGCGAGAGTGGTTCATCTGTAGAACTTACAAATTTTAATTTTGTCCAGAACTATTTTATAATATGTCCAGAACTATTTTATAATCGAAAATGTAGTATTAAAGCTCTGGTATTCGATGTTCGTTCAAAATATTGTTTGAACTTTTAACAAATTCTTTCAACTGATCTTAAACAATAAAATAAATAAATAAGTAAATAAACAAAATAAATTCAATAGTGTGTTTCAATTGTAATTGATTAACCTAAATGTATAGTATTTTCAAAATTATTTAGCACAAAATAATAACAAAAAATTTTTTAAATTATTTTGCAAAAAAAAAAAAAACAAAGAAAAATATTTTTGCAATATTCTTTTTTAACGAATTGTGAGTGTTATTTCAAACGTTTTTATGTACACGTTGTATTTGTTATGCAAATAAAAAGTAAATAATATAAAAATTTAATAAGAATACGAGTAACTTTATAGATCATCACTATAAAACGCGGAAATGTTTAATTCAGTTCTTTTACAGACGTCTATTTGTAAATTTTAAGCGTCAAAATATTGAAAGAAAAAAATTATTAACATAAATTTTGGCAAGACATTAACACCTTATTAACAATTATGAAATCTACACTATATCTATGTAGTTAATCTTCTTAAAAGATAAAATTTTAAAATATTTTTGCTTATTTATGAACAAAAAATAAATCGTAATACATACAAATTGAGTTTTTTATGACCGTAAATAGTTAAAGTGATCATAAAAATATTTTGAAGAAGATTTTCTTAAAAATTATTTTAAATCAATTAATTTTTATGAGTCAACCAGTAATTTTATTATTAAAATTTAGTTACAAGTGCCTTTACGAATTTACAGAGTCAAATTATAGGAGTGTGTAAGACGTGGTGTGTTATCAATCAATTTAAAGACGATCTAAGAAAAAAAAAAAAAACAAATTTATTTGAAAATTTTTTACAGTGAAATTATCAGTCATCAATCATTTCACATGGAAATAAAAAATTAAATAAAACTATATACATAGTTAATTAACTAAACCGAGAACAAAAATTAACAATATCGTAATAACAAAAAATTAAACGCTATCGGACGGAACTGTCACAAAACAAATAGCTTAATAAAAGATAAATTGAAATGAGACACTTATTTTGAAATAAATAGGGCAATAAACAAAAAATAACGAAATTAATTTTGTTCCTTACAAAAATTTAAGCTCTTGCTACAGGTTTCGATAAGAAAATAGAAAAATTAGAATTTTAAAAATTAAATTTACACGTAGTATACCTAACACTTTTTTTGTGAATATTGTAAAATTAATAGTTATAATAGTAAGATTATCGTAAAATTGTTGTATTGTTTTGTAGTAAGATTACTCAATGATAATTAATTATTTCTCGAAGAAAAAAGATATTTACTTGTAAGTTCATATTGTGTTAAAGAATATTAGAGGGCAGAGGTACGATAGTTAGTTTCCGTTTTTCTACCAGTAAGTTGCCTCAGTCCGTTTGAGGTGACATGGTTAAACTCATTTTTCGGTTCTAATACAATAAGAAAACTTAATATTAATGCTAATATTGCTCATTCCATTCCTCAGACATCTCTGATATTTATTGACTATAATTTAATTGTCCCAAAAATCTGCACAGCGGTTTCTATTGGTTATTACCTACTAAATTAAAATTATTCTTCAGGTTTAATTGGCTTAATTCGGCTCTGTATCTTCAATATTATTCAGAATATATAGAATATAATTTGATTCCAAGAAATTTTCAATTTAATTTATAATTTCGAAATATGTACACATGTATGTGTTTATTTACATTTCTCAACCTGTAGTTGAAATTCAAGTTAATTGAAATATAAGCGAAGATTATTTAAAATTCTTTTTAAACTTATAAAGCTACATGGTATTTTTAATCTACATAAATAAACTATTAAGATAATCTTTCATTAGAAAAATGCTGTATGATTCTTTTTCTAATATTTTTTCTTTCATTATTATTTTTTCAAATTTAAAAGAAATATTTAAATTTTATATAAAATCAATAGTTATATTTCAGCTGTCTAATAAATTTTAATTTCAACTCACGTTATATTCCATAAATTCTAATAAAATCTGTTGTACAATAATCAGCGTATGAAGCCCTTGAATTTATATAAAATTGTATATAACTTATTAAAATAGAATGATAAATATTACAGTCAAATATAATTTATTTTTTATATACTAACGCTACCGTTTTCTAAACAATATTAATAGAAATTCATACTAATTGAAAACAATTATAAAATTTTTAATTTTTTGGTATTTGAGTCACGGACTTTATTTGCACATATTAATAAAAATGTCTAATTGTCTAAACCAGGCATGGGGAACCTGCGGCCTTAAGGCCGCATGCGGCCTTTTAACTGTTTTTTAGTGGCCTTTGTCCTTAAAAAAATTTATTTCTTATATTTCTTAAAAGTTAAAATTTTGCTGCCAAACGAGGCTGGAACCAAATATAAAATTGTTATCGAGCAACAAACAATCACAGAAAAGTCATTGAAATAATGAACCATATTATTTTATTAATAATGTACATACTTACTTATCTATTTTTATTTATGAAATAAACTGTTTTATGTTATTTTTTATATTCTGACATAATTTTGTTTTCATCAACCTACACAAAGCAAAAATTTATAACCTTTGGACTTTTTTTAAACTTTGCGGCCTGATTGACTTTGCATTGACTAAAATTTGGCCTTATATAGAGAAAAGGTTCCCCATCCCTGGTCTAAACTTACATATACGACTAACGAGTATAATTTTAAAAACGTTTGTATTTTTGCAAATTAATGATTATTTTGATTAATTTACTAAAGAAATAAATAAAAGAGTTTTTGGATACAAGTGACTAAAACTACTGATAACTGATCAATTTTTAAAAAATATTTTTTAAAAATGTCACCAATAATGCCAGGTGTTCTTGTAATAATGTGAAGATTTTATTGTATAAAAACATTATGTACGTAAATTAAAAAATTGTAAAATTAATTTTAGAGTTTTATAAAGACGTTCACATTGAACTTATAAGATTCTTAAAAATATGTATGTAATGGAAAATTAAGTTGTAAATTTTTATTATAAGAAACAGTACAAAAAATCAGGTGCAAATAAATTATAGGCATATAAATATTGTCAATTAAAATTTACTTTTTTTAAATTCAAGAATATTTGAAATATTCAAATTTATAAGCCCGTTTTTAATTCAAAAATCTGATGTGATCAGCACATAACCGAATGCAATGTATATTGCCTAGATTAGTAAAAGTATTCCAGAATACTATAAAAATGCCTTTTAAATACTTTTTTCCAATTTTTAGGGCGTTAGTAAGCTTTTAGTTAACCTCTCTAGAAAAATGTAAATATGGCTCATAGTAAAGCTTCGCTTTGTTCCCGAAAATTCCCTAAAATGCTAACAGTTAGTTACGGTAACAACCAGAGCTCAAATATCCAATTTCAACAAATTCCATCAATTCGTTCTGTAGATATGGTAAAAAATGTAAAATCGGCCCCCAGATCAATTGCCAAGCCCTGATCTTTCCAAAAATTTTATAGATTCATTGTTTTAACACCTCTTCCAAAAGGTAGGGAGGTTTGCGTACGGTCGAATGAAACTTATATATGAAATTTCAAGAAAATCTCTTGAATACTTTCTTCAAAATGTTAAAAAATGTAAAACAGGCCAGCAAAAAGGTCGAGTTCCCAAGGCCTCATATATTCCAAAAGTTGGCCGATCCGTGCCATAGTCGAAATAAACTTACATACAAAATTTCATCAAAATCGCTTCAGCCGAACTTGAGATACACGCTTGCACACCCAGACCGACACCTCTCTAACAACAGTTAATTTACGCTTACCATCACATATCTTTCCTTATTGTATGCAATGCGGTCGGTAAATATTAGTTATTTAGTCTACGCGTAGCTTAATACTTATTTATAATGATATGACAAGGTTTTAATGAATTAAATTAAAATTAAATGTTAACATTTTATCACAATTTCAGTTTGAATCAATAAGTTGTGCTTTAGAAATGATTTCGTCTTAGTACACAGAATTCAATTAACAAAAGAAAGCTTATAATAAAATATTATACTTGTAAATCTGCATTTTACCTTTAAGTTTTAATTATTAACTAAATAATAACTAAATATTAACTAAGATATTTTATATAACGTTATGACATACAGTACATTATAGTATTTCAATGCACAACCAGCCGTACCGCTGTTTATATACGAAATTAATGGTACCTGTATAAGACGTATATGTTTTTATAAGACGTAAGGCGACATATATGTATTTTATAAAATATGTCCAGTCCGTATGTACGTCTAGTTAAATAAATACTGAATAAGTATTTCTCAAACTTTTTTTGGTTTACAAAAATATTTTAAGTTTTTTTTTTTTAAATTTCAAAAGAAATTAATTTTATATACTTTTCTTTTCGGTATCTATTTCAGATAATTGTTGAGCCTAAAATTTGATTTAATAAATCAGATGCAAAAATATTTATTGAAATAAAGTCATTGTTAAGGATTACGTAGTAAAAATGAAAGCACTTATTGTAACATTGAGCACACTTTTTGTAATAGTAAAGGATTCAATAGCACAAGATGATGGAAATGGGTTATACAGTAGACGGTAAGTAGACACTAATTTTTTACCAATTCATGTACGTAATATTATATACATATAACATATTGAAAATTGATTGAAAAAATTTATGAGAAATGATAACTATAAATCAAATTTTTAAAAATATTTTAATAAATTAGAAAAAAAAAACTTGCAAGGCTTCTTATTTACATAATTTATACACATACTTATACATTTAATTTTGAAATATTTGAAAATAATTATATGCTAATTTTAATTCTATTTATATGGGCTGTCTTAGCCATCTAGCCAATTACTATAAGCCTATTTTCAGTATCGGTATATTTATTGGCAACTTCTATAATATTGGTTCAGATAAGATTATTATAAATCTGCATATAATATTTACTAATGTTTGTTCGAACACTCATTCGGTAGTAAATTAGCTTTTAAGTTAAAAAAATATTCTGAGCAATAGCAATGTTAGTAAACGAACTCTAAATCTGGTATAGATTTCATGTAAAATATAGGTAAGAAAGAGTTTAAGAAATTTTAGAAGAGAATATAATAAATGACCTCTCTTCGGAACCTAAAACTTAATTCTTGTGATCTCACAATTAGTGAAATATTGATTTTAAGTTGGTATGGCAATCTATGAATAAACAAAAATGATACCTACCATAAAAAATATTGTGGGTAGATTGCAATTTATATTGAAATGGAACCAATGAAATATAAGAATTACTTTAATGGTGCCAATTTCGATTATTTATTAATTAATACTGAAGCGAAATATAAACTATTTTTTTTAGATGGATTTATCAAAATTATTTAAATTTTTCATAATATAAAAAATTTTAATCATAATATAAAAAATTAAAAATGCACTCCAAGCCAAAATATTTGAAAAATTCATAATAAAGTCATTAAAGTTTTTTTTTTAAATCATCTTAAATTTTTGCAATGAAAAAATTTTCATAATTTTAATTATAATAAAATAACCCTGTGTGTTTGAAATTAATATTTATCAGTATAGTCATTAACTTCCGAATTAATTTTAAATAATATTTACATACATACAAGCATATAAATGTGTAGGTATTATAGGTATATGTGTATGTATTTTATGTAAATAATTTCAAGCAATGTTAAGAAAATTTAAAACAGAAAAGTAAAAAAAAATGTTAATAAAAATTTTTATCAATTTTTATAATTTAAATTTTTGTATTTTTATACCCTGCACATCGTAAAGGGTATATTCACTTTGGTATAGAGTTTGTATAGAGTTAACCACTTGAAGGGGTCGTCTCCGGTATGGACAAGTATATATATCCTTATACGATATGTATATATATATCGTAAAATTCTGAGTTGATTTAAACATGTCCGTCCGTCTGTTCGATCGCACGATAATTCAAAAACGAATAAAGCAATCGTCACCAAACTTTCACTGCTATTGTAATTGGGTCAATTCGGACAACGGGTTCGGGTAGCTGCCATATGACTCAATGAGGTTTTTTTAAATATTTCAAAAACTAATAAAGATATCAATATCAAATTTTGCAAAGTTGTGTTCAATTACACTCTACATATGTTCTAAAAGTTTTAATGGAATGGCTACACTGGTTCGGGTAGCTGCCATACAACTTCAAAAGAAAATTTTAATGATTTGGGAAAATAATAGAGTTAGATTCATGAAACTTGGCCGTCGTGTATCCAATTACAAGCCAAACATATCCATGCAGTTTCTATAAAGTGGTTTGTTAGGCTCGAATACTGGGTATATAACAATGAGATCTAATTCTAGATATTTCAAAAACAAATTTTAAACTCAGATTGCCAAAGTGCAGGGTATAATTCGGTCGGTTTATACCGACTGAAACGTTTTTACTTGTTTTTTATTTTTGTGGGATCGAATATTAATTAATAAATTGATAGATAATCAATAAAAATTTGATCACAATCATCACCGGAAATAATTTGTCATTTAGTTTTTTTGTTTTGTACTCGTATATACGATTTAAGTGTTTTAATACCAATTTTACTTTATCAAAATAAAATTTCTCATGACCTTACAAAACTTAAATCTTCAATTATGTGTAGCATACGACCATAAAATTAATATATTCGAAGTGCATTCGATTCAATTAAATTTTTTGTTTACCTAGATAAGCACATAAACGTTTAATAAATACCTACCTGCATAACAATTACATTTCTATGCAAAAAAAAAAATTATTTGTGGGTTAAATTTAACTTATTAATTATAATACATACATACATTCATATATTTATTGTGTTGAATAGAAAATATTATAAAATCCAATGTCTTTGATTAATAAAGTAGAAATCATTATTATACACACTTAGTAAATCTTAATTGAATTATAGTGTCATGTCAATAAAATAATCATAAATAATATATTTTGACAATTATGCAAATTATTGAGTCAAAAATGAAAATATATGTACAATGTACCTATACCCAACGTACCTATATGAATGTGCTTGTTCATAGTGTAGATGTTGATTTGAATTACAGCAGTGGGACATAATTATGACAAAATAAATGTGACATAATTGTTAATATTAACAAAATATTAATTATGTTAATCATATCAGCTCTGCACCGTATTTAAGCTTTTAATTTTAAACGCAAATATTGTAATTTGTGTTTACCTATTTTCTTCAAGTGTACTTTTTAAAAAATCACTTTATTTATGGATTATGAATATTAATAAATACAGCATACTAATATTTTTCGTACACAAATTTTAAAACAGTTTATTTAAACTACTACCACAATCTTATCTTATTCTCTAATTTATTTTTCACTAATTAATAACAACATTCCCTTATTGCTTCAGCCTATTTTACCAAAATAATAATATTATGTCTACTAGACTATAATAAAGCAAGATTATTTTAATTGTTAGAAAGAATCGACAAATTTTTTTGCGTTTAGCTAAGGGTTCAGCATTTTGCTTTATTTTAATACGCCATAAAGTATAACTAATTTAGATATTAAACCAACTAATTATAGAAGTAAGTTTTCGAAGCCTAGTATTCCAATAGTTTATATAATTGTTAATTTCATTGAAAAAAATTCTTCTATTCTCCCCTTTTTCCAAGTTATCGTAAAATTTCATTTTTAAGCTTCTTATTTTCCTGACACAGCAAAGCGAACGGTAAATTTCGCCTCATCGAAAAACTAATTTTTAATCTTAACTCACATGATTGTTCGCCGAATTAGATTTTTGCGCTAAAGTTCCTTCTAATATTCCTTCTCATGTTCCTTCTCATCCTAAAGTATGCAATGGTAACTTATATTTAAATAATTACAATGATATTAAGAAATAATTTAGTGCGTTTCAGAAAAGTGTTTTCTCATTTATGTCTTTCCCTTCTTTAAGGAAAATGTGCTACTTTACAAATCATTGATTTGATTTGAATTATTTTAATTATTTGTTAAACAGAAATTAATTTTATTATTTGCACATACTTGTTACTCATACAATTCTCATGCATTGCTTATTATCAAATCCCTCTATCTTAATTTAAAGCTCTATTAATTTTACAAAACATTGAAATAAGGGCGAAATTTTTAAAAATCTTACACTTTTGGATTTGAATATTAGAAAAAACTTACTAAACAAAAAAATGTTCATAAATTGAAATTTTTTTTTCTGTATAGGTTGCGATCTATAATAATGGTATCGATAATCGATCTACAATAATATCAAAATTGAAGAACGAAAACGATTTAAGAAAATCACGTGATATTTAAGTTTCTGTCTACTTTTACAAGCAATGCCTAAGGCAAAATGCAAATTTTTAATCCAAATTTTTATTTATATTTGTAATATATTCGTAATTTTATATACTGCTTATTTATATAAGCCGTATATAAAAATTATTAAATTTTAATATTTAAATCAAATGACTGATAAAAATCTGTGAATAACGAATTCAATGACATGAAAAAGAGACAATCAACTAGTATTAAATACGATCTATCTCTTATTATTGTTTTTTATTCGAATTGTAAAGCGTAAATAGAAAATGTAATGTATGTATGTACATGTGTTATATTTATTTTTAATTGTATAATACATAATCTACAAATGCATGGCTTCATAAGTACTTACCGTGAAATATTTTCGTTCATTTACCAGAAACTTAGTTAAGGTTAGTAACCCCAAATATACCATCATAATTTTTGATTTTCAAATATGATAGCAAAATTCAAGCACAGATATGAAGCATATGAAAATTTTAAATATTAGTGTAAATGGAAGGTCAACTTAAAATATGCATCAAAATATTTATACATAGTATACCTAGCCTGTATAATATATTCTCACATAAATATACATAATATTTCTATATTATTTATGTATGTGTATGTAAACCAAAATAATAAAAAATGATTTGACCTTGACCAACTGTTTATAAATTTAATTCTTTAATATTATATGTACGCACACACGTATGTGTGTAATATTATTTTCTTCAAATATACACGTTTAACTACCATTTAATTTCATTATTTGTAAATTATCATGGTATTATGATGCTCCCATATTTTATAAAGAACTCTAAATTTATAAAGGGTGGTAAATTTCTCTCTCATGGCAGTAATTTTTAAATTGCACACCGTTTATATTACAGCATATTATTCTAATATTTTGTCGCGTTTGTAATTTTTTAATAGAAGACAAATTGCGGAATAATGTTATATTTAATGAACATGAAAATAATTATGGGCAATGTTTGGTTGAATTATAATGGTCCGATTAAGATTTCGTAAATAGGAATTGGCAATAACTAAAAGGAGTTTCGAAATATTATTTTTTAATTTCTCGCGGCATATAAAACTAAAATAATTCATTTAAATTTCTCTAACTGTAAGATAAATTATTATGTACTTAATAAACTTATTAAGATGTGAATTTTAGATTCATGCGCATTATACTCATTTAAAGTGGTCTTAACAACATTCCATATATGCCTTAATATTTGCCGGAAATAAAATAATTTTTTGTTCAAGATATTTTTTTTTTTCAATCTTTGCGTATTTAGTTCATTCAATTGCCCGTTTTACGTTAGACCAACTTAACCACTTTTCACTAATACAAGTTAGATTATAAAAGCAACTACTTAATAATTAAGCTTGTAAAAGAGTTTTTGTATAAATTTTCGTTGTGATATTTGCAAATTTATTGGATTGTATATGAAACATTATAAGCTTTGTCTTTAAGAAAAAAGCACATTCAAACTATTGCAATTACAGCCTAAGAATAATTAAAAATTCAAGAGTAATTTAATTATGTATAGTAAAATACGCATTTAAACCTTATTTTATATTTTTACATTTTGTATAAAAAATAAAAATCTTTTCGAAACCTTGAAAGAATTAAAAATTTTATTTGAACATTATGAATAAATTCGCATTAAAATTTTTCTTTATACTCTGAAAGAATTGTACGGTATCTGAAATATCAAAATTTTTAAATTTTGAATTTCTATAAAATTAAAATCAAAGTATAAATTAAAATATTTTTCATTAATTTAAATATGGCTTTGCTTCAATTTATATTTAATTAAATATTTCAATTTTGCAGTTACGAAAGATTGGATATAGACACAATTTTAGCCAGTCCCAGACTTGTCACAAATTATGTGGATTGTTTACTAAGTAAAAAACCATGTCCACCAGAAGGAAAAGCATTAAAAAGTAAGTATTAAAGCAAATTAAAGGTAAAGAAGCTTGTTGAGAAATTTCTTTCTTATCTGCGCAGTCAGACTGACAGACACGCAGACAAACCGGCAGACATCTCTCCAAAAATAGATTATTTACGCTTCCCTAGCCGAAAGCTTGACATAAGCAATTTGGCACCATCACATAACCTCACTTATTGTATGCAATGCAATATTTTGGACTTACATACATTTCATTAATTGTATTAAGTTGCATTCCTAATCAAAATTTTATAAATAAATGAAATTTATGTTTATAACTTAGCAAAAAAATCATTCAGAATGCTTATCAGCTGTACGAACGTACTCGTATGTTCGAAAATCGAGAGATATTATAAATTTTTCATCGTTTGTAATGCTTGGAAATAACGGTCTAATATATTTACATAAGTGTATTCGTCTGCTCTAGCTATTATTCAAAGATTATTTGAGTCAGTGGTTCACGTAGCTGATGTACAATTTCCAATGCTATAAGCCTCTTTCGCAGAAATTATAAAATTCAGAAATTTGAAATTTTATGCAAGCAAATATATTATGAGAGCTAAGTTGTTTGATAAAACTCTTTGAAATTGCTTTACTCCTTTTGGTAACTGGCACACAAGTTCAAAAATTACTTAATCATAACTTAGAAACTGTTGAACTAATGACAGTGCTGAAATTTTGCACAAACGATTTCGGTAATATGATCATTATTTTCGATAAAAGTGGTAAAGCTTATGTGGTAAAGTGTAGAAAGTTTGTGTGGAACTATCATAAAATTATTCGCATATCACAAAGTTGGCACGGTTAACTTTGTTCCTATTCTCTTTTTTAATAAAATTTTTTATGAAAATTCCATACAATGCAATAAAATGAGAATCATTTGAAAAATTTTTCAATGTCATCAAAACAGTTTTTATACCGTTTTATACTAAAATTTGTTTATGTCCAAATTTATTTGATTACTGAGTGAGCATTCAAAATAATCAAAATTTAATAAAAGATAATCTTTAATTATTTAACAAATTTCATTTGATTTAATATTTCAAAACAATGTTAATCTTTCTTAATTAATAAGTTATTAAAATATTTTGATATTATCAAAGTAAATAAGATGAAATTTGATATTCAAAATAAAAGTAAATACGAGTACAAATTTTTTTAAATTTTTGTTAATTTTCATTTTGATAATTTGTCAAAATGATTAATAACTGTTTGATTTGACGTTTTCTTTATTATATTTTTCGGGTTAGTAGTTATGAAAAAATTTGATTGTAATTTTTCAAATTTAGAGACAATGATGAGTCGTAAATCCGTTATTAAACAAAGAATTAACGTTCTTTATTTTAAAATTCCAATTAATTTTTAAATTAATTTTTTTTATAAAATGCAGTCACATGCAAAGGGTATAAGTAAGTATACGCTCAGTGTAATAAATCACTGGGTTTAATTGATTATGAACAAGAATTAAAGAACACATTGGTAATGAAAAAAATTACTTTCCATAATTCGTTTTAACCGTATGGAGTGTTCTAACAGCATGAGTATCAGACGGTTTCGATGTTTTAATAATCATTCTATTTTTTAATTGTCCCATATCAGAAGAAAACAATTTCTACTAATTATATGACCACGTTGATTTATTTCTAATTTATTCTTGAACTAAAATTAGGACATCTAAAATAAATTATTGCGAATATTTATTAATATTTATGTTTAAATAGTTTATTCATTAATTTTATTCATATTTAATAACAATAATTTTTAAAATTTTATTAGTAAACAGCTTTTTTTGTCTTTATAAGTGTCAAAATTTTAATATTAAGGGGCGCTTTTAAAATACAAAAAACTTGTTATTTAAATTAATCAATTTTAATACTCGTAGTTTTTTTTTTAATTTTAGAAAAATTGTGTTTTGATTTAAAATTATGTTTCATGTATCTCTAGATAATTAAGAAATTCAGAATATTTAAAACAAGTTTAAATATTTTCTTTTTATAGTTTCAAAATAAAAACAATATTGAACAATGCCCATTTGTGTTGAAAAGTATTTGTACTGCGTAAATGTAAAAAAAAGTATTAAATATAAAAAATATAAAAAAACATTACTCTCATTTATAAGGTACAGTGAAGGTGACCCTTTTTAGGATTATCAGTAATATTTACTAATATATAATGGAAATGCATTGCAGTGGAAAGCTTTTTATAGCTTGTAATACAATTATATTAACGACTGCTGAAATCTTAAAAGGCACCTTTTCAAAAAAGAGCGTCAAAAACACACCTCAAGAACTTAATGTAGAAGAAGATAGTGGGTGAAATTTGGAAGTATGGTTTGCCCTCAGCAACAATTTTTGTCCTCGATAAGATAGTGTGCACTCAGTTTGAGAGTAAGGTTGCTACTTTTCCTATTTTCAACTTTTGAATTTTATTTTTGTGTATTTTAAAATTTGGCTCACATTTTTTTAATACTGATACTGATACTTTATAACTGCAACTCTTTAAATGAATTCAGCTTCTTACGTAATATATAGAAGAAGGTCCGAGTTTTATAGAATTTTTCAAGAGTGAAATTGCTTTGAATAAATTGGCTTACCGTTTAAAATAATATGTCATAGAGTGTTTAGGAACTGGGATTCAGTTCCTATGCGTTTATTTATAGACATACCTGCTGTTTCTGAGCAGCATCGAACTGAGCTTTTGTTTGCAACTGAGATTGTCTTTCTCGAACATTTCTTTTCAGAACGCGTTAATTTATGCCGAAAGAGACTTGAATTGGATTTAGTTTTTTAAAGCTTTGCATTTTTAAGGTAAAATGTTTTATATATAATAAAAAATAAATTTATGACTACTGTTGTAACTTTGTTATTTTGAAGATATGACATTTTTCGAATATATGACATTAAATTGAAATCTCTTCCTTATTACTCTTTTATATAAGAAAAGAATATTTTAATATTAAAATATTTTAATATATTGTAAAAATTACTAAATAAAATAAAATTTATAAAATATTAAAATATTTTATAGAATTGTGAAAAAACTACATCATCTCCACAATAAACTAAATTACTTTCTTCAAATTCGATGTATTTATGAATTTTAAACAATAGCGTGTTTTTAAGTTGTAAAATTGAAAATTTTATTTCAAAAACTGGATCTAGTAATAAAATTAAACTAACCGCATTAATATTATTATATTAATAAAAAAAAATACTTACAATTTAAAAATTTCTTTATAGGAATATTGCCAGAAGCTCTGCGAACAAAATGCGGAAGATGTTGGCCAAGTCAAAAAGAGGGTGCTCTAAAGGTAATTACTGCGTTGTATTATGATTATCCACAACATTATCAAGCATTAAGAGAACGATGGGATCCAACTGGTGAATATAATCGTAGGTTTGAAGAATATTTACACGATCAGAGATTTAATGTTATTAATAGTAATGCTGGTCAAGATGGAATTGAGCAAGGTAATTAATTTTTATATTTACATTATTCTAATGATATATAGATTTTTTTTAAATAGAAACTTACATAAATTACGTATAATTTTTTTATGTTTTCTTTTTCCTTCCGTTGTAATCAATATCAAATTTAAACATGTATTTTTAATCATCATGTTCGTGCTTACATAAATTGTGTGTTTATTTTAACATTTTGACATATCGTATCACTTTTTTATGATATAATGTAGGAGATACATCACAGGTAACTTTAACCCAATTAACTGATAATAATATTAGATCAAATTTTATACCAAGAACACGTCAAGCATCCACATCATCGAAATCATCTGAACATATAAACAGACCTAATGTTATAGTATCCCGTAATGGATTCGATGATTATCCTGATCCTTCCTCATATCCTAAAAATAATAGAACGAATAATAATCATAATAATCACAATAATAATAATAATATAAATGTACAAAGAACAAGAACACAAACAACTACACGAATAAAAAATAAAGGAAATAATAGAAAAAATTCATCTAATAGAAATACAGCACACACAACAGCTGTTATACAATCAACAGTAACACCCACGACATTTTTTTCACATCAATCAGCACCAGTACACGTACCATCACCACCATTTGAATTTAATATGTCGACAATATTACAAGATATAATGAGAGCTCTATTTAGTCCACTCAGAAGTTTATTTGCTTAATAATTTTGTATTATTAGAATGTTTACTGTGAATATAACAATAGGGATTACTCTCCCTATAGATTTTTTCTCCCTCGTTGAGCAGAGAGAGAAAGAGAGATGTATTTGAAGTCATAAATATACGGCAAAGTATTTAGCTTAATTTAATTACTTACAGCTCATTTTAATATTTTCCCGTTTTCAAAACTATTTCTAAAATTGCTTTTCCTGACATTTTGTCAAATAACAGAAATATTCTCTTTTACAATTACCAATAATTTTTCCATAAATTTTCAATAAATAAGTTTTTTAGCCGCAATATACCAGAAGCACAAATTGGGTTATTAATCATGATATTGTTTTGCAAAAGTGTTGATTTCTTATTATCAAGATTATTGCCAACATAAGTAACTCAATTTTCCATTTTAAGTGTGATAAAAATATTTTAAGAATGAAAGTCACAAAATTTCAATTTCATACTCATTTTCAAATACGCAATTTAATAATTTGTTAAATTTTTGCTCAAAAAATAATTGTTATGTTTTTTACAATTCGTCCTTCTTTTACAATTCTCCAACCAAATTTTGTTTACACAATTGCGAGATTCTCGTTTCAAGTCTAAATAAATGGAACAGCTCTCTTTAATTAGCACTTTTAATTTAAGGAAATATTTTGTGTTCTAAAATTTTAAAATAATTTTTTCTAATTACAAAATATTGTCGACATTTTAATTAAATCAAAATAATTCTGAACACTTTTGAAAATTTTCCAAAAAAAATTAATAATAATTGAAATAATTTTGAATAATGTTACAAAATACACTTTGATTATCAAAAACCTATTCCTTAATTTACTTAAAAATTCAATACTATTTTAATTTTAAAACCAAAGAATATCTATAATACATATAAGAAGGGTGGAACTTTAAGAAAATAGTATAAGAAAGATTGAGACAATTCACGGCTTATTTTACATCCATATTGATCTATTTATTGATTATAAATTAATTACATTAATTGGCTATTATTTCCCTTTTCTGATACATAAAGAACCGTTGTTTTTGTCTAAACCCCTCCTAATAGGGCTCTTAAATAGATAAATTTGAATTTTATGTTATAAAAAAAACTTTTGGTTTTTGTCTGCAAGTGTCCATCAGAGCAGTCAATGAATAAGAAATAATGAATCAAATTCTTATAAGGTGCATATCGGGAATAAAGAAACCATATGGTTTATTTAACTAAATCATATAGAGTGTTCCTAATAATTATTCTTATGCAATACCTACTTTAAATTTGTATTATAAATTTTTAAAGTTCCTCTCTGACAAGTAAACTCTTCTTATATAATATGATTTCTCTTTGGTTTAAAATTTTGTAAATAATTTTAAATGTATATTATTAGTATACGTATATATATTTTAATTATATATATATTTTTTATTAATTGTAAATTATATTTTAACAGCATGACAATTTTTTAATTTTTATTATTTTATTTTTATGTGTAATTATTTTTAAAATTTAGCTTTAATTTTGTTATAATTTATATATATATTTAAATTATTGTAATATAATATATATATATATATATATATATATATATATATATATATATATATATATATATATATATATATATATATATATATATTATTTTACAATAATTTATAATTTTTTGTTTTGTGTGGTTTAATTTTAATGCTTAAATTTTGTGGAAATTCAAAAAATAAAATTTGAAGCCGTTTTAATTATTTTAAAACGAAGGATTTAAAAATTTCATATTTATTAATTTTTAAAAATTAATTAATTTTTATCATTTTCCAGACCATTTTTTTTAATACTTAACTGGTTTCAAATCATATGTTATAAAACATTTTATCTTAAAGTTCAAATATTTTGTTTGAAATTTTAACTAGGTATTAAAGCGAATTTCATTTTCTTAATATTCAAATTAGTAAGGTTTTTATTTATAAAGAATAACTATTGCTATTTAAATTGCCGTTTAAACTCCCTGATATGTTATTTTTCCAGATTAATTGAAATTGATATTTTATACTACTACCACTTAGCGAATTAATTGTCGCTGAGCTCCAATATTTTATTAATAATAACCCCTAATACTTTGTTTTTTACTTAAAAATTTATTTTTGAATAGCATTATAAAATTCTCCAGTAATTCGGAGAATAATTATTTAATATAAATAACACAAAATTGTAAACTTTCACAATAATTATTTTGTTTTCCACAAAAAAGCTTTAATATTTTCATTGCAAATTATTTGAAAAGGGTATAATGAATGACCGTTTACCTAAACGGAAAGTAGTCTGCAATCTACTGTACTCAGCAATTAAAATTTTATTGCTGAATAAATAAATTTGACGTAAGATTCGTATTTAAGTAAACGCAATATATGTTTGCATAAATTGCAATAATTTGCAAAAGCAATATAAAATACTATTTTAAGAAACTGTATAGATCATTCCAGAAATATGAATAAAGTAGTATATAATCAAATAGATTTAAGATATATTTTTATACTCAATACTTAAATAATGTTATTTAACTGCATTATAAAAATTATTATTTGTTTATAACTATAAAATATCAATAGAATTTTAAATTACAATTTATGTTTGTAAATACTTCCATTTAAGTAATAATATTATAATAATTATTAAACGTATGTGTAAAATAAATCTTTTATTGTCAAAATTATATAATTTTTTTTAATTGGCATAAAACAGTATTAAAATTATTAAAAGAAAAAGAAAAATGAAATTCAAAATTTTTTGCTAAATTACTTACTGGAAATTTGTTTGGTGCAAAATATTTTGGCGAACTTTTGATTATGGTGTAAGCATATTTGTTTTTGATTATTTTAATTTATATTTGTTTAATTGATTTCATTTTAATTATCACTTTTGCTAACTAATTTTTAAAAATGCTCATTATTTTTTCAGATTTTATATTTTATTATTACAAATTATATTTTATTACAAATTAAGTTTGTTCAATAGCAAATTGCTCTCAATTCTTCTAATAATGCTTTAGAACAATTTAAATTTTAAATAAAAATATATTTTATCGCTATTATCAATTTGTTACACTAACCTACTTATGCAAAGGCTATGTTAAAACTAGTTACATAATACCAATTTGTATAAATTCTTAATAAAATTCTTATGCTCCTTTATAATTCCGTAATTATTCTCAATAATTATAAACTGCTCAATTTTATCCTCATACACATAAAATAGTTTGTATACTCCTTCTCTCATAAAGAGATTTGAGTAGTTTAATAAAACTATTGACTATTTTGAGTGCATACTTTAATTAATCTAGTTAGTATAACAGATTGATAATAAATATTTTTAAATTTTCGAATTTTATAAATTTAATTAGTTCTACGCGTTTATAAAACTGACTTTCATAAACGTAATGATTATTTAACTGCGCTCCTCTCACATAATATTGCTGAAAATTTAGCAATGTTTATAAACAAACTCGATGAGCAACATTTGTTTATTAAAGCGCGTGTTTTAACTAGATACTATTGTGTTTATAAAAAAGTCTGAGATTTGAATTTTTAGTATTTCTTGGACCACGTTCTTAAATTTGAAATGTAACACGTATTTATAAATTTTTAATACACAGTAAATACAATTATTTTGTATTCATAATTTTTAAATTAATGTTATTACAATTACAGCAAATATTTTATAATATTATAATTTTTTTATTTCAATTTCAAATAAAAAGATATTATTGTTGTAAGTTAAAATTTTGCCGGATTCTACCACAGAAGGATTGTTTTGATGAGGACCTCTTTAAGTTTCTAACACAAAATCAGCCGAGTAGATCTACATGGATATAACCTACGCCATTATAACCATGTACAATACTTATTAGTGTATACATAATTAATACAGCAAATTTAACATAAGCAATACTAATAAGTAATAAGCTTAGTTATTGTTTTAAAGCCGCTTTTAATATATATTAATTGCAAATACTAAGAAATTAATACGCTTAGTTATACAGCAATAATATCTTTTCATAACAGCCCTTTTGTTGGTATGAATACCTAGTGCACGTAATATCACTCACATTATTTCTTTATAAAAATTGAACCAATTAAATTGGAAAATTTTAATTGGAAATTATTATTACTTAAATTATTTTCAAAAACTAAGGTACTACGACGTCCTACCAAGAAACGTATAATTCCGACAATAACAAAAACAACTGTTCAGTCAGCGACATTCAATCCTGTTAATAATCCACCACCATCTGAAGAACAGTTAGGAGAGGCAAGTGGAACAGTTGCCAATCGATTTGGTTCGCCTGATCAAGAAAATAAAGTAAGATTAGTATAATCATTTTCTTCTTATATTCCTTTTTTCAATTACAATTTTCATAACGATTGAATCAATTCCTAATTTAATAAAAATGTGTTTATAATTTTAGATACCACAAAATCAAAATCCTGTAATTATATCTTCGACAACAACATATAGACCGCCAATAACTAGAACCAATAAACCAATAACACTTGGAACAAGATCACCAACTACAAAAAGAATTCAACGTATCCCACAAACAGTAGCTACACCACTAAATACACCACCACCAGTAAGTATTTTAAAGAAATTACACAAAATTCCTTGGATATTATTAATATTTTTCCATTCATGACTGCTTTTTTAGCTTCCTGGTTTTGTAACACATACAACACTTCAAACAAATAATCCAATTCTAAAAGTAATTAATCATTTAACACTAAAAGTTGCGAATACTGCAGAACTTTTAGCAGGAATGTTAAATGGAGCTACATCACAAGTAAGTGAAATTTTTTGATTTTAAAATTAATTATACAAAGACTTCAAATACAGTTTTTCTTACTGGACAAAAACTAATGACAAATTAACTAATAATACAATATAAATTTCATTTTAAAACAGAAAAAAGTTATAACGATCTCAACGCCATTATTTACGGTCAAGAAAACCTATGGACGTTAATAAAATTGTAAGTATAAAACAACAAAAAAAAAACAAAAAACAAAAAGTTTTCAAAAGATTGTGAATAAATCTTTAAAACTTTTGACATAATTTACTACAGACAATATTTGGTAGTGATTATAACATAAAATTATCCAGGAGCAATCGCGTATTTATATTGATCAACAAGATATTCTAAATTTTTGCTTTGCTTTTTGATGAAACCCTTTATATGGTGGTCGGTTACCTATGGCTTTAATTTATCAAAAAATAATTTAAATTTATTTTATAATTAGTTCACAATAGATCAATTTATTTTGCGTCAAATTCAATTAATTATCATAAGAAAATGATAACAATAGACGGCTGATAGTTTACCTTGCATACGCATACGTGTAAATCTTAATGAGACCGAAACGTATACAAAAATATTAAAAATCTTTTTTACTACTCGTATGAAATATTAATAAATTTTTTTTTCGTTCAAATATTTTTCAGGATTCTTGAATTTATCAGACGTTTTAGGCTGACATTTTTTTGCACGATACTATCATGGAATTTCGTGTGAGCACACTTAGTATAAATTAAAACAAAAAAGAACTCAAAATCGATTGGACTGTTTTTCATCAAAAGCCATCATCAAAAAATTTATAATTTAAGTTTCATTTTAGCATTTAAGTTTTGTTAATTTCAAAATTAATTTTAAAATCATAAATTAGTGAAGATCAAAATTTTTTTTATCTTGTTCTAAATTTTGTTGGTATTTTATGAATAGGAAATAAAAAATTATCGTATGTACTGCTTTAGAAGTATTAAATTTTGTTAAAATATTTCTAAATTCAAAATTGTTATCAAAATATTGTGAATTTATTTTTGTAGTTTTAATTAAAATATTTGTAAATTTATTATATAATATGCACTATTTTAATTATATAAAAAAAAATTTAAATAATGTTGTAAGCTTTATATAGTCTACATCTTTGCCTAAATAAAAAAAATAAACGAATAAAATTGGGTATTGTCAATTTACAATTAAAAAATTAATTTTTAGTTACTGCCACTTGTCACTTGTATTAAACAGCATTTTGTTTTTTATTTTCTCTCTGTGTGAAAAATTACAGAAACTTTCGAAATATTCTCACATCTTAATAAATAAGTTTACAGTGCCTGCCGAAATGTGAATAAGTTTTACATCTAGTTCTTTTAATAGTAATTTTGTGATTCTTTGTAGTTAACTTATTAAGGAAAACTAAAAACTATTATTCAATATTATGGAATGATGCTAATTATGTTAGTTTTTCTAAAGCCAATATAGGTATAGATGAGTGAAAGAATTGTAGTTCCAAATTAGCCAGTAATTACGTATATAACATGCCAACAATATTATAGTTTCGAGAGTTTTTGTGATTTTTTTAATATTTTTTAAAATATAAGTTAAATAATGAAAGTTAGGAAATTTCAGAAGAAAATAATATCATAATTTGCTTCAAAAAATATATTTAAATATCATAAACACAATCCGATTTGATTTAAAGGACATATTATTCTGGCACTATCTTTCTTATGATTACCAATAGCTGTGCTATAGATGCGTTATGTGATGAATATTAAAAGATTAAGGAGTTCAAACATAATCTAGATACGTAGATATTGCATATTCTACAATTTGAACATGCCTCGTACCTACTCTTGAACATAACGAACACAACGACAACGGTTTTCAAAGACAACGGTACACCGTCAATATTATAAATAAGAAGAGTATGCTTGAAAATTAAAATTTCATGTGTTTAAAAAGCCAATAAGGATAACAATAATATCAAACATTAAGCGAAAATTTTTTATTTAATAAATAATTTAATTCAATCAACATCGTTCGTTTTCATTAATTATTTTTATAAATTTCGTACCATACCTTAATTTTTGTGGATCTTTCTATTCAACCTGTTCGATTTACAATCCAGAGTCTACATTTTATTAATATAGTGTACAGCGTTCCCACTTGGATACAATTGTATCCATTTCAATTTTATTTCAAAAACTGGATCTAGTAATAAAATTAAACTAACCGCATTAATATTATTATATTAATAAAAAAAAATACTTACAATTTAAAAATTTCTTTATAGGAATATTGCCAGAAGCTCTGCGAACAAAATGCGGAAGATGTTGGCCAAGTCAAAAAGAGGGTGCTCTAAAGGTAATTACTGCGTTGTATTATGATTATCCACAACATTATCAAGCATTAAGAGAACGATGGGATCCAACTGGTGAATATAATCGTAGGTTTGAAGAATATTTACACGATCAGAGATTTAATGTTATTAATAGTAATGCTGGTCAAGATGGAATTGAGCAAGGTAATTAATTTTTATATTTACATTATTCTAATGATATATAGATTTTTTTTAAATAGAAACTTACATAAATTACGTATAATTTTTTTATGTTTTCTTTTTCCTTCCGTTGTAATCAATATCAAATTTAAACATGTATTTTTAATCATCATGTTCGTGCTTACATAAATTGTGTGTTTATTTTAACATTTTGACATATCGTATCACTTTTTTATGATATAATGTAGGAGATACATCACAGGTAACTTTAACCCAATTAACTGATAATAATATTAGATCAAATTTTATACCAAGAACACGTCAAGCATCCACATCATCGAAATCATCTGAACATATAAACAGACCTAATGTTATAGTATCCCGTAATGGATTCGATGATTATCCTGATCCTTCCTCATATCCTAAAAATAATAGAACGAATAATAATCATAATAATCACAATAATAATAATAATATAAATGTACAAAGAACAAGAACACAAACAACTACACGAATAAAAAATAAAGGAAATAATAGAAAAAATTCATCTAATAGAAATACAGCACACACAACAGCTGTTATACAATCAACAGTAACACCCACGACATTTTTTTCACATCAATCAGCACCAGTACACGTACCATCACCACCATTTGAATTTAATATGTCGACAATATTACAAGATATAATGAGAGCTCTATTTAGTCCACTCAGAAGTTTATTTGCTTAATAATTTTGTATTATTAGAATGTTTACTGTGAATATAACAATAGGGATTACTCTCCCTATAGATTTTTTCTCCCTCGTTGAGCAGAGAGAGAAAGAGAGATGTATTTGAAGTCATAAATATACGGCAAAGTATTTAGCTTAATTTAATTACTTACAGCTCATTTTAATATTTTCCCGTTTTCAAAACTATTTCTAAAATTGCTTTTCCTGACATTTTGTCAAATAACAGAAATATTCTCTTTTACAATTACCAATAATTTTTCCATAAATTTTCAATAAATAAGTTTTTTAGCCGCAATATACCAGAAGCACAAATTGGGTTATTAATCATGATATTGTTTTGCAAAAGTGTTGATTTCTTATTATCAAGATTATTGCCAACATAAGTAACTCAATTTTCCATTTTAAGTGTGATAAAAATATTTTAAGAATGAAAGTCACAAAATTTCAATTTCATACTCATTTTCAAATACGCAATTTAATAATTTGTTAAATTTTTGCTCAAAAAATAATTGTTATGTTTTTTACAATTCGTCCTTCTTTTACAATTCTCCAACCAAATTTTGTTTACACAATTGCGAGATTCTCGTTTCAAGTCTAAATAAATGGAACAGCTCTCTTTAATTAGCACTTTTAATTTAAGGAAATATTTTGTGTTCTAAAATTTTAAAATAATTTTTTCTAATTACAAAATATTGTCGACATTTTAATTAAATCAAAATAATTCTGAACACTTTTGAAAATTTTCCAAAAAAAATTAATAATAATTGAAATAATTTTGAATAATGTTACAAAATACACTTTGATTATCAAAAACCTATTCCTTAATTTACTTAAAAATTCAATACTATTTTAATTTTAAAACCAAAGAATATCTATAATACATATAGAAGGGTGGAACTTTAAGAAAATAGTATAAGAAAGATTGAGACAATTCACGGCTTATTTTACATCCATATTGATCTATTTATTGATTATAAATTAATTACATTAATTGGCTATTATTTCCCTTTTCTGATACATAAAGAACCGTTGTTTTTGTCTAAACCCCTCCTAATAGGGCTCTTAAATAGATAAATTTGAATTTTATGTTATAAAAAAAACTTTTGGTTTTTGTCTGCAAGTGTCCATCAGAGCAGTCAATGAATAAGAAATAATGAATCAAATTCTTATAAGGTGCATATCGGGAATAAAGAAACCATATGGTTTATTTAACTAAATCATATAGAGTGTTCCTAATAATTATTCTTATGCAATACCTACTTTAAATTTGTATTATAAATTTTTAAAGTTCCTCTCTGACAAGTAAACTCTTCTTATATAATATGATTTCTCTTTGGTTTAAAATTTTGTAAATAATTTTAAATGTATATTATTAGTATACGTATATATATTTTAATTATATATATATTTTTTATTAATTGTAAATTATATTTTAACAGCATGACAATTTTTTAATTTTTATTATTTTATTTTTATGTGTAATTATTTTTAAAATTTAGCTTTAATTTTGTTATAATTTATATATATATTTAAATTATTGTAATATAATATATATATATATATATATATATATATATATATATATATATATATATATATATATATATTATTTTACAATAATTTATAATTTTTTGTTTTGTGTGGTTTAATTTTAATGCTTAAATTTTGTGGAAATTCAAAAAATAAAATTTGAAGCCGTTTTAATTATTTTAAAACGAAGGATTTAAAAATTTCATATTTATTAATTTTTAAAAATTAATTAATTTTTATCATTTTCCAGACCATTTTTTTTAATACTTAACTGGTTTCAAATCATATGTTATAAAACATTTTATCTTAAAGTTCAAATATTTTGTTTGAAATTTTAACTAGGTATTAAAGCGAATTTCATTTTCTTAATATTCAAATTAGTAAGGTTTTTATTTATAAAGAATAACTATTGCTATTTAAATTGCCGTTTAAACTCCCTGATATGTTATTTTTCCAGATTAATTGAAATTGATATTTTATACTACTACCACTTAGCGAATTAATTGTCGCTGAGCTCCAATATTTTATTAATAATAACCCCTAATACTTTGTTTTTTACTTAAAAATTTATTTTTGAATAGCATTATAAAATTCTCCAGTAATTCGGAGAATAATTATTTAATATAAATAACACAAAATTGTAAACTTTCACAATAATTATTTTGTTTTCCACAAAAAAGCTTTAATATTTTCATTGCAAATTATTTGAAAAGGGTATAATGAATGACCGTTTACCTAAACGGAAAGTAGTCTGCAATCTACTGTACTCAGCAATTAAAATTTTATTGCTGAATAAATAAATTTGACGTAAGATTCGTATTTAAGTAAACGCAATATATGTTTGCATAAATTGCAATAATTTGCAAAAGCAATATAAAATACTATTTTAAGAAACTGTATAGATCATTCCAGAAATATGAATAAAGTAGTATATAATCAAATAGATTTAAGATATATTTTTATACTCAATACTTAAATAATGTTATTTAACTGCATTATAAAAATTATTATTTGTTTATAACTATAAAATATCAATAGAATTTTAAATTACAATTTATGTTTGTAAATACTTCCATTTAAGTAATAATATTATAATAATTATTAAACGTATGTGTAAAATAAATCTTTTATTGTCAAAATTATATAATTTTTTTTAATTGGCATAAAACAGTATTAAAATTATTAAAAGAAAAAGAAAAATGAAATTCAAAATTTTTTGCTAAATTACTTACTGGAAATTTGTTTGGTGCAAAATATTTTGGCGAACTTTTGATTATGGTGTAAGCATATTTGTTTTTGATTATTTTAATTTATATTTGTTTAATTGATTTCATTTTAATTATCACTTTTGCTAACTAATTTTTAAAAATGCTCATTATTTTTTCAGATTTTATATTTTATTATTACAAATTATATTTTATTACAAATTAAGTTTGTTCAATAGCAAATTGCTCTCAATTCTTCTAATAATGCTTTAGAACAATTTAAATTTTAAATAAAAATATATTTTATCGCTATTATCAATTTGTTACACTAACCTACTTATGCAAAGGCTATGTTAAAACTAGTTACATAATACCAATTTGTATAAATTCTTAATAAAATTCTTATGCTCCTTTATAATTCCGTAATTATTCTCAATAATTATAAACTGCTCAATTTTATCCTCATACACATAAAATAGTTTGTATACTCCTTCTCTCATAAAGAGATTTGAGTAGTTTAATAAAACTATTGACTATTTTGAGTGCATACTTTAATTAATCTAGTTAGTATAACAGATTGATAATAAATATTTTTAAATTTTCGAATTTTATAAATTTAATTAGTTCTACGCGTTTATAAAACTGACTTTCATAAACGTAATGATTATTTAACTGCGCTCCTCTCACATAATATTGCTGAAAATTTAGCAATGTTTATAAACAAACTCGATGAGCAACATTTGTTTATTAAAGCGCGTGTTTTAACTAGATACTATTGTGTTTATAAAAAAGTCTGAGATTTGAATTTTTAGTATTTCTTGGACCACGTTCTTAAATTTGAAATGTAACACGTATTTATAAATTTTTAATACACAGTAAATACAATTATTTTGTATTCATAATTTTTAAATTAATGTTATTACAATTACAGCAAATATTTTATAATATTATAATTTTTTTATTTCAATTTCAAATAAAAAGATATTATTGTTGTAAGTTAAAATTTTGCCGGATTCTACCACAGAAGGATTGTTTTGATGAGGACCTCTTTAAGTTTCTAACACAAAATCAGCCGAGTAGATCTACATGGATATAACCTACGCCATTATAACCATGTACAATACTTATTAGTGTATACATAATTAATACAGCAAATTTAACATAAGCAATACTAATAAGTAATAAGCTTAGTTATTGTTTTAAAGCCGCTTTTAATATATATTAATTGCAAATACTAAGAAATTAATACGCTTAGTTATACAGCAATAATATCTTTTCATAACAGCCCTTTTGTTGGTATGAATACCTAGTGCACGTAATATCACTCACATTATTTCTTTATAAAAATTGAACCAATTAAATTGGAAAATTTTAATTGGAAATTATTATTACTTAAATTATTTTCAAAAACTAAGGTACTACGACGTCCTACCAAGAAACGTATAATTCCGACAATAACAAAAACAACTGTTCAGTCAGCGACATTCAATCCTGTTAATAATCCACCACCATCTGAAGAACAGTTAGGAGAGGCAAGTGGAACAGTTGCCAATCGATTTGGTTCGCCTGATCAAGAAAATAAAGTAAGATTAGTATAATCATTTTCTTCTTATATTCCTTTTTTCAATTACAATTTTCATAACGATTGAATCAATTCCTAATTTAATAAAAATGTGTTTATAATTTTAGATACCACAAAATCAAAATCCTGTAATTATATCTTCGACAACAACATATAGACCGCCAATAACTAGAACCAATAAACCAATAACACTTGGAACAAGATCACCAACTACAAAAAGAATTCAACGTATCCCACAAACAGTAGCTACACCACTAAATACACCACCACCAGTAAGTATTTTAAAGAAATTACACAAAATTCCTTGGATATTATTAATATTTTTCCATTCATGACTGCTTTTTTAGCTTCCTGGTTTTGTAACACATACAACACTTCAAACAAATAATCCAATTCTAAAAGTAATTAATCATTTAACACTAAAAGTTGCGAATACTGCAGAACTTTTAGCAGGAATGTTAAATGGAGCTACATCACAAGTAAGTGAAATTTTTTGATTTTAAAATTAATTATACAAAGACTTCAAATACAGTTTTTCTTACTGGACAAAAACTAATGACAAATTAACTAATAATACAATATAAATTTCATTTTAAAACAGAAAAAAGTTATAACGATCTCAACGCCATTATTTACGGTTAAGAAAACCTATGGACGTTAATAAAATTGTAAGTATAAAACAACAAAAAAAAAACAAAAAACAAAAAGTTTTCAAAAGATTGTGAATAAATCTTTAAAACTTTTGACATAATTTACTACAGACAATATTTGGTAGTGATTATAACATAAAATTATCCAGGAGCAATCGCGTATTTATATTGATCAACAAGATATTCTAAATTTTTGCTTTGCTTTTTGATGAAACCCTTTATATGGTGGTCGGTTACCTATGGCTTTAATTTATCAAAAAATAATTTAAATTTATTTTATAATTAGTTCACAATAGATCAATTTATTTTGCGTCAAATTCAATTAATTATCATAAGAAAATGATAACAATAGACGGCTGATAGTTTACCTTGCATACGCATACGTGTAAATCTTAATGAGACCGAAACGTATACAAAAATATTAAAAATCTTTTTTACTACTCGTATGAAATATTAATAAATTTTTTTTTCGTTCAAATATTTTTCAGGATTCTTGAATTTATCAGACGTTTTAGGCTGACATTTTTTTGCACGATACTATCATGGAATTTCGTGTGAGCACACTTAGTATAAATTAAAACAAAAAAGAACTCAAAATCGATTGGACTGTTTTTCATCAAAAGCCATCATCAAAAAATTTATAATTTAAGTTTCATTTTAGCATTTAAGTTTTGTTAATTTCAAAATTAATTTTAAAATCATAAATTAGTGAAGATCAAAATTTTTTTTATCTTGTTCTAAATTTTGTTGGTATTTTATGAATAGGAAATAAAAAATTATCGTATGTACTGCTTTAGAAGTATTAAATTTTGTTAAAATATTTCTAAATTCAAAATTGTTATCAAAATATTGTGAATTTATTTTTGTAGTTTTAATTAAAATATTTGTAAATTTATTATATAATATGCACTATTTTAATTATATAAAAAAAAATTTAAATAATGTTGTAAGCTTTATATAGTCTACATCTTTGCCTAAATAAAAAAAATAAACGAATAAAATTGGGTATTGTCAATTTACAATTAAAAAATTAATTTTTAGTTACTGCCACTTGTCACTTGTATTAAACAGCATTTTGTTTTTTATTTTCTCTCTGTGTGAAAAATTACAGAAACTTTCGAAATATTCTCACATCTTAATAAATAAGTTTACAGTGCCTGCCGAAATGTGAATAAGTTTTACATCTAGTTCTTTTAATAGTAATTTTGTAATTCTTTGTAGTTAACTTATTAAGGAAAACTAAAAACTATTATTCAATATTATGGAATGATGCTAATTATGTTAGTTTTTCTAAAGCCAATATAGGTATAGATGAGTGAAAGAATTGTAGTTCCAAATTAGCCAGTAATTACGTATATAACATGCCAACAATATTATAGTTTCGAGAGTTTTTGTGATTTTTTTAATATTTTTTAAAATATAAGTTAAATAATGAAAGTTAGGAAATTTCAGAAGAAAATAATATCATAATTTGCTTCAAAAAATATATTTAAATATCATAAACACAATCCGATTTGATTTAAAGGACATATTATTCTGGCACTATCTTTCTTATGATTACCAATAGCTGTGCTATAGATGCGTTATGTGATGAATATTAAAAGATTAAGGAGTTCAAACATAATCTAGATACGTAGATATTGCATATTCTACAATTTGAACATGCCTCGTACCTACTCTTGAACATAACGAACACAACGACAACGGTTTTCAAAGACAACGGTACACCGTCAATATTATAAATAAGAAGAGTATGCTTGAAAATTAAAATTTCATGTGTTTAAAAAGCCAATAAGGATAACAATAATATCAAACATTAAGCGAAAATTTTTTATTTAATAAATAATTTAATTCAATCAACATCGTTCGTTTTCATTAATTATTTTTATAAATTTCGTACCATACCTTAATTTTTGTGGATCTTTCTATTCAACCTGTTCGATTTACAATCCAGAGTCTACATTTTATTAATATAGTGTACAGCGTTCCCACTTGGATACAATTGTATCCATTTGGATACATTTTTGCTTTAAAATTTAGCTTGGATACAAAGATACTCAAATCTGCTAAAATGTCGAAATTGGCTACATTTTAAAATTTTGCTGAAATATGGATACATTTCTCTCTCTAACACTAAATAAATGTTAGAAAACTTGTAAAGTGCTGTAACTTTTAAGTGCATTATCTTCCAAAAAATGTTATTTGCTGACTAAATTAAATTTGCCCGTTTTCGTGCTGAATCGTTTTTACCGCATAGTTCAACAGCTACAGAACATATATTTTCTGACCTAAAATTTTAAAATGTAATAGAAATTGCATGTGATTTCTAAAAGAATTTACTTTAAATAACGAAACTCACATTGTTGAATAAAGCAAATTAATATTATTTATGAGTTTATTGGTATAAAATAAGACGATTTAGTATAATAATTCTACTTTAGGAGGCTGGATACATTTTGGATACATTTTTTTCTTGAAATTGGATACATTTTGTTTTTATTGAGTGGGAACACTGATAGTGTAGCAAAGTACATGATTTATCGAAGACACAAACACTTTTTGTTTTTTCCAATTAACTGGTTTACGATTTTATATTTGGGTTTTGCGGCATCTATTGGTTGAAAATTTCAACCACTTATGAAATAATTTAACGAAAATAAAAATAAACTATTCACAATAATTTCTTATTTCTGAGCACGTATTTTACATTTTCAAATTTTTTCGTTTAAAAAAATATTTCTCTTAATAATTTATCAAAAATTCTTACAGAACTCATAAACTGCGAAATTTTATATGATACTAGTAAATTAAAAAAACTAAATTAATAATAATAATTAAATTTTAACAATTTTCACAAAGTAAACAAGAGGAAACTATAATATAGCCAAGGAGATTAGCAAACTCCCATATTTTCGATAAACTTAAAAAAAATGGTATAATAATAAATATGAGCATAAAACTACTACGATTATACTACCGGGCAAAAATTAAGATTAACTTTCTTTTATATAAAAAAGGCTTTTTATAAAAATTTAGAAAAATCGCATTATCATAATTTTACATAGAAGCTAAGGAGCAATTTCTCATAGTTTGTTCACATCGCATATTTAAAATATAAAGAATTTATACAACTATTATCATAAAAGTAGTTTTAATACCAAAGATAGTAAAATAAAGTTTTTATAACCTAGAAATTGGCATCGTTTATTTTTTATTCCGTTTTCTTCCATGGTTTTCATGTTGCTGTACTCCTTTCTTTTGAACTAAATGTCTTTGGTATTTTGTTAAAAATCCTTCTTGTATCTAAATATTTTTTATATTAAATGTATACTGCGTATAATGCAATATGTTTTGATATTAGATATTTCTAAGTTATTGGAAATGGAGAGCAATCACATAACAGTATATAGAGGATCATTGCATGATAATCACAATTAAAAGTTTTCGTTACATAAAAAACTTCTGAAGTAAAATGTAAGGTCATGTGTGTAAATTACTTTACTTAAGCGGCTATTTTGTGGTGATGTCGGTACAGCAGTGGTGTCTGTATAGCAATGAATTTATTACGTGACAATTAACGATAAAACAACAAATTTTGATGATCTATATAAATACTGTACACCTTCGGTTTGAAAATATAAATTTTATTTTTATATGTATACAAAATATTAAAATCTAAATTTCTGAAATATTAAAACTGCTAATATATATTTAAGATACTATTCGTATTTCCAGGCATATAAAAAATAATAAATGCGTTGAAAGTTCTCAAATTTCGAAATTTTAAATTATACAATATTGCATACATTTCGGCGACAATGCAACGAAGCACGAAAATTTTGTAAATACGGAAATTGTATACAGTAATGAACCATTGCTAAATATTTTCAATAACAAAAGAACACATTTTGTGCAATTTGTGGATGTTTGTTGGTTTGTATTTATAGTAAAGGAAAGTTGTCTATACAATTTGTATGTTTCAAATATTATTTTCGAAATTTGCAAGGCTAAAAATTTATTAATTCTACAATATGGTAGCAATACTCAATTTACTCTTTATACGCAACTTAGATATTGAATGCGAAGGTATTTCTTCCAACATGCTCGGAAAAGTTCACCGCAGAGTTGTTGAGGATGGATAGAAACCGGATTCGTGCTATTGCGAATGTCATAACCGGACATAGCCCAGTGAAGTATCACCTGCATAGGTTAGGAATTGGGCTCCTCCCTGTACATATTTTGTGAGGACGGTGACGAAATCGCTGCCCACATCCTTTTGCGACTGCCCGGTACTGACCACATAATTACTTTGGACAGGATCTCCAGCGACGCTCTTCGGGAGCTGCTGCCCAATTCCTTTCGGGATATAATCAATTTGATACTGGGAACAGGAATATCATATAGGTGGGAACACAGGGAGGCTATAATAAGTTGCGAATGGTTGCGGTGGCCCAGGGAGTCCTCCTACAAAACTCGATTCCCTTAAAAATCTACAAATATACAATCTAAGTTAGATATTAATAGGACAGTATTATACGATATACTAATTAAAATCTAATAATATTTTCAATTTTTGTTTTTCAATTTTATTGCTTTAACTTGTATAATAGTAAACTTCACGCTACTGTTATTTACATGGTAGAAAACTCCTTGCTTATAATATTATACAAAATCTGTTTAAAGCAAAAAAAATCATAACGTAAATAAAATAGAATGCAAACATGAAAACCATAACAGCCAATATCACATTTAATACAGTACTACAACACTTTATTATGATGATAGTAACATCATGTCGGTAATATTAATATAGCAGTTATTATAATTATTAAAAAGTTGTATACATTATAAAATGTTTATATGTAAATAAATTTCGTTAAAACCTCATTTCTACTCTATATGGTATGCACATGACATCTTAACATTATTATGTTTATACTCTTGTTAATAATATATTTAACATAAAAAAAAATAACAGAAAAGAAGCGAAAAATATTTTAAGTAAAAATTTTATGTCCTTTTCATGTTTTAATATCATATTCCTCAAAGGATATAACAAAAAATATATTTTTAGGCTGAATTAAGCTTTATAAGGATTTTGTTGTAAAGATTATACCAGTTCAGAGTTTTATGTACTTAGAGCTTTAATGAAAAGAAATTTTTCTTTTCATTATTTTAATAATATAGAATAAAATTTCTTTTATATATTTTTACGGGCATAATGTATACACTTACGGGCATATTTAAAAATATCAAAGTATTGTACTTATAAAAAAACACAGCCGTCACAAAATTTGAAATTGGATACTCGTAACATGAAATGCTTGCTTTCATTACAACTTTTCAAATTAAAAAGTAGTTACTTCACAATGGATAGTGTCTACCAAAATAGAGTTTGAAAGGCAAGGCGATCATAAAAGAATTCACATTTAATATAAATACAAGACAAGTTTCGGAAAAACATTGACCAAATAGTTATTTGAATTTGAGAAAAACTCCACAGGTTTTTTGAAAAAACCTGAAATAATTAGAGCTTTCATACAAAAAAACTTACATGAAATCTCAACGGATGGGATTGGGGACTCTTTTTAAGATGACGTGAATATATACCATATCCTGATTATGTTCTCTCTTCTTGTACTAATGTCTACAGTTTAGGTTAATGTCTGCATAACCTGTATAAATTGTAGCTACCTGTATAATATTCTTAAGTGAATATTCAGCAATAATTAACACGAAAATGTCTATGTTTACATAAATACAAATGTAATAATGTATATTAATCTGAATAACATTTATGTACGCCAACACACACACACATTAAAGTATTAATATAAAATTTAAATAATCTGAAAAATTTAACAATCTACCATTCTACGGATATTTTTATTATTTTTATTAACAGTTCTGTTTTGGTATGTTGAGGCAGAATTATTATTCTAACGAAAAGTTTTAAAACATACAAAAAGAAAAATATACTCGTAATAAAATAAAAATTTTATTTTTTTTTTCTCGAGGACAAGAATACGACAGAATCGACAATTTTCACTTTCGCCTTAATATAAATGACGTGGGAAATTAAAAGATTTTAAATGTCCTTCAGTTTTATTATTATACTTTGAAAATAATTTTTTTACGCCGTATACCTTACCTACCTACCTACCTAATTCCTTACCACTCTTACCAATTTTGTTGTATGAGAATTTAAAAATTGTATGGAAATGGTTTTGTTGTTGTTTTAATTTCGAGTAGAACCGCGTTCTTTTTATATAAATATAATGAAGTGTTATTTTTCTTCTTGTTTTGCTTTTGTTTTTGATTTTTATAAACAAAAATTTTTTTACTTGCGTTCCGGAAATTAATTGAAATATGAAAGATATTAAAATCAATTTGGAAATCTGCGATAATAACGCTTTAAATTTTCTTTAGAAAAACTGAACATTAAAAATAACGCCAAGATTTATTTTCGCTTGCAGATTTTTTTTGTTTTTCTTTTTTTTTTAATTACTTTTCTTAAATAAAATGTTTTTATGTTTTTGGTATCAAAAAAGGAAATTGAAAATTTTAAGCTTCTCGATTTTAGTTTTTTAATAAATTGAAAATTTAATAAATAGCTAGTGCTTTAAAGACTTAAGTACTTTCGAAAAATATGGAATGAGAAATAAACTAAAAGAAATTTAATTTAGTTTATTTTTAAAAAAAAATTTAATCCTTTTGGTATTATAAGGGTTATTGCTCGGAAATTTTTTAAATACTTATTACTATTTTCTATATACGATGAAATTTTATATAAAATTAAATATGAGACCAATGAGACTACAATATTATTTACGAATTTAGGTACACCTACAATATTGTAAAAGAGAAATTTACGAAATTTAAGATTTTTTGAAAATTTTAAAAATTATAAGTAATAGCAAGTATTTTAAATGATTTTTGTGAATATTAATACAAAGAACTTGAATATGCCGTATTCAAGATTTAATTATGAAAAATTTTGAAGGACAAATGTTTTGAAGTCATAGAGTTGATTTGAAAATCGATTTCCAATTTTATAGAATTCGGGTTTTTAACTCGGATTTCACATGCCTACAAATTTTGTACTTCATCATTCCAAATTGCAATGCTAATTATGAACTTAATTATGCATTGTAAATGGTAAGGGAATTTGTTGAAATCCAATAAGATATCATCGATTGAGGTCTGAAATGCACCAAAAGTTCTCAGTTGTCTAAATGGAAGAATTTTACAATAAACTTAAATAGTAAATTCTATAATTCTATGCACTTGTAATAATTCCTTATTTATTAAGCTATAAATTATAAATACTTCCGAAGCAATAAGAAATAAAACTATGGCCAATTTCAGATTTCTGACAACAATGCTGCATTTTATTTTAACTAAGCTTTAGTACTATTAAAAAAACCCTGTCAAGCAGTTACTTCAATATGAATTCTTGTGAATTTGTTGTATTGGGGTGATTTAGCATGATCGCATAATTCAGTGATCAAATCATTCCATTTTTATTTAGATTAAACTTATTAAGTATGTAGTACGAATACAAATAATAATTAATCTTACCATGTCTACTCTTTAATTTTTTTCTTATGAGAAAAAAAATTAATCGCAAATAATTATTTTTTTTTCTTTTTTCTTAAATCTTATAAACATTTATCATTCTAATATTTTTTGAATAATTTCGTTGTTTTTAGAAAAACAATAAAAAATATATTTTTTTCCCATTTGTATTATTCTTGTGTTTTTTACTGCAAATACGAAACTTACTTCAAAACTGGTATTTCTCACTTATGATTTTTTTTTTGTTAAACAACATTATTTGCTTAATTATTAAACAAGTGCATTGCGTAATTTTCCCGATTAGTTAATGATATGACTGTAATTATTGTCACATACATAGGTGCAGGTTAGACCATTTTGCTTTTCAGCCTCATACATAATTTGATAATTAATTATTGAGCTAGAACTCATGCTAGTAAGGGTCGCAGTCAATATCGTTAAAAAACACAGAAAATAAAGAACCCAAAAATTAACATATTTGGTTACATTAAAATATTTGGTTTTTGTAGCGAAAAGATGACTCCAAACATAAGTTTACTTTGTGACTTCATATTTATGTTTGCATTCACTTAAATTTTTTGTCCTTTGCGCAATAAGACAAAGAAAAACAGTGTTTTAAAGGAATAGCCATAAATTTATAAAAAAAAAGGAATTTTATAAAATTTAAATTTCTTTTATAACAAATTCTTAAAAAAATCATTTTTGGTAATTAAAACAATTATGTTGTCCATGCCGTGAGAGATAAGTACACAGCATGTTTTACATGCACAGCATTAATGCTAAGAAAAAAATATTTAATTAATAAATCGATAAATGATACCTTTATTAATATATTAACTTTTCGGAAAAGACCCGTTATTTCACAATAAATATATAAAAAAACTGTTATATCCCTTGAACTACGTTATATGAAAGATAACTAACTTGTCCAATTTTTAATTTAAAATTCAAACGGACTTGATAACTTCAATGGTTTAAGAAATATAAAATTTTAAGAGCCTGATCGTGTATTTCGCTATTTTACTCGCCAATTAAGAAGAATATGAGCAACTATCATAATATATTTGTATAATGTAATTTTCAAAATTTAATTACTTTATTTTAGAATGTGCCGGTTCATCCCATAATTTGAGAAGAAATGTAAAAATCTAGTTAAAAAATTAATAATCTTATTGGAAAATGAAATATCCATTAGAAAAACCGATAATTCTGATTTGAAAGTGAATAAAATGTAAAATAAATAGGCAAGATACATGATTAGGCTGTAAGTATTTTCTAAATTTTGTATTTTTGAAGGTCCTAGTCGTCTTTAAAGGGTATTTTTACCAAAAGTCACAAAATAAAATGAATACTTGTTTCATTATACGCTTTGATGAAACCCTTATAGCGCAAAAGAACTTTATTTACTAAAAAGGATTACTATTGCATAAAAATTCAACAAATTCTCCTCCAAATTCTACAGAAAACCAATGAACTGTCCCTACTTGAATCTTAAATTTTTTAATAGTAAATTATATGGTAAATAATAAATATTGCGCTATAAACAAAATTACACCATTAACAAAAAAAAAAATTATTTATTTTTTTTATTTATTTACAAAACAAAATAAAAAAAAAAGGTATAAAAAATTCAAAGTATGACACAATCAAAAGTATTGTAAAAAATATTCAAGCTCAACTTCTCTTTATTTATTTAAACTTCTTGAAAGTTGTGATCTACCTTCTGGATCATATTTTTTCAATATCTGTTTAAACTCATTTGGTTTTTGTGCTTTTAAATGTGATATGACTTTATCGGAATTGCTACGCTGAGTTTGTGTACATTTTGAACAATCAGTTGCTAAAGCATCTGGTAAAAGTTCTGTAATAATTAAAACAAAATTAAATTAAACCATAAAAATTTTTAACAAAAAAAAAAATTATGTGCAAAATACTTTTCAATTCTCTTCCTTCAGCTGTACATGGACCCTTTTCCAAAATGCATTTGATATAATTATTTAAAATTCTTTGATTACTTAAAATTGCATCAACATCAACTGTATCAAATCGATTTGTGTATGTTTGTGCAGCAATAACTCCGGCAAAACATAAAATGACAGCAATAAACAATGAAAATTTCATTTTGTTTGTGATTTCTGTTTAAAAATAAAAAAATAAAAAATATATTAATTTTTTTTTCCATATTAAACAACAAAGTCAAATAAAATGTTATCAAAAATTAAGTAACATGCATTTTAAAATTCTATCAAAGCTGTCATCCCCCCTAAAATTAGCATTAAGTTGGGTTATAATTGCACATTGTGCCATACTTATTCCAAGTTCTAATTATAGAAAATTTTGCATTACTCTGGGCTGGGAATTGTTTCCCGCTTGTTTTGCATAGGTGTTATACATATATGTGAAAAGAACAATAGTTTGCTCGATTTTTAGATTTAATCATTTTCATCAAATACAAGCTCGGTATAAAATTACAGAAAATGACAATTAATTCTGAAATAACAACTGCACTTGTTATATTTAATAATTTAATTTTTATTTTCACATAGTTTCGATATAGTAGATTCTTGCTGCAATCATTGAAAATTAAGTCATGTCCGTGGCAATTTATAAACTCATGTCACCTTAAATTTATATATTATGTAAGTATACATACATTTTTGTTTCTACCGTAATGCATACTAATTAAAACATTTAATAAGTTCTGATAAGTCATACACATAATATGCATATTCCCCAGTAACAAAAACCATCTCTTCTATATTATAAGCCCAAAAAATATCCGGGTAAAAAAATTAAGTTTTCACTCCAGAAGTTCTTGAAAATTTCAAAATTATTTTGAAAAAACATATGTATACGTCATATATAGAATTATTTGGATCCGCATACTGTTCTATGCATAATAATTATCTTATTGCTATTTGATCTGTATTCTAATAATATGTTTGTCAATATTTGTTTGTCATTTTAATTTCTTAAATTATGAAAGATGTTGACCTTAATATTAAATTTTAATTTTCAAAGTTATACAAAAAATTTAACATAATTTCAATGTAATTCTATAAATATTTAATGACAAAAAACAAATATTTCATTTTTATTCAACAATATAGCAACAGATTAAGCAATATCCATAAATTAACCACATAAATTCAAAAATTATCCACAAATATTCAATAATGACCTATACAGGATATCTGAATTTTAACAGATATAAAATAAAAACTTGTACTTTATAAAAAAAATTTCAATATTATAAAATTTTACTCTATGTATAGTAAACCATTAATTACGTAACATTCTTCAGGTAAGTACCTACAGGTTTTCTTTAATAAATTTTATAAAATTTTATAAAATATAAGAAATCTTTTATACAATGTACAATTAAATTACATTGCATAATTTATAAAATACTTAAGTAAAAATATATATGAGAAATTTCTGGCTAAACAACTGATATTAAAAAAATTACGAAACACGGTGGTTGTACTTCACAATTTTAAGGTTCATAACACTTAAGTAACATAATTTTATGTTAACATTCTGTTATTGTGAAAGAAAAGAACAAAACAAACATCCCAGATTGGGAAGAATAACGACACAACCCAAAAATTTAACTTCGACTTCCGGAATTTGAAGTATTTATAACCGAATGTAAATTACTATCGAAGGTTAAAAATGTTTATATGGAACTATTCTACGAGTATATGAATAAATTGTTATAGAAAAGTTTTACACATTAAAGCATAATAGTAATAAAATCAAGTTTGCGGTTCTGCATTTTGACTTATGTCATTGTTCTCGATAATTAAATTTCTTAATCTATGTATGTTTACATCAATTTAACCTTAGAATTTGTTTAGGTATAACAAACTATATTACTCGTTCGACCTTTCTCAAAAATATGATGCAGAACGGTTAACTTTATATAACAACAACTACATATTACATCATAATATTCTAGCTTTTATACCAAAAAATTCCGAAATAAGAAAATGAAAATTAGCTAACTTAACCAATTTTTTTTTCTGCATAACTGTGTGTACTGGAATATCATGGAAATTGCAGAAACTGCATACATTATACTTCTTAATATGCAGATATTCGAATAAAAGTACCTAGTCAAATGAATTTGCATATCATAAATGGATTAATAAATTTATTATACCCTTCCAAAAATATTCGGACAAGAAGTTAAATATTCCAGAAAACAAAATAAAAAAAAATTATTAGATACTTTTTCTCCTTTTAATTTTGCTTTTTTTTTTTTTTTTTTGAAATCAAGTCACGATGAATTGGCGCAAATTGTAATTTTAGTAACAGTTATTGAATAATAATTATTTTTATACCATAAATAATTTATTTATGTCTGCATGTATGTATGTTTGCATGTATCAAGCAGTAAATATGAATTATTACCAAATAAATATTTTCACATTAACACATACTTTTTTTTTCCGTACTTCTTGGAGATTTTAAAATTAAATTACATCAATGCGTATATGTACGCGTTATAAACATGAAGCCGAATTAAATTGAAAATCGAGTAAAAATTGCTTTATTAAGTAATAAAATTGTAAATATGAAGTAAGCGTTGTGCACGCGGTATGAAATTGAATCTCTTTACATTTTAATATCGTCAGTAATAATTTTTTTTTTTCAAATTTTTTAGTAGATTTTTAAAAAATTCAAACTAGCAAATTTCACTCAATTCTAATTAAATTTAAATTTTGAACTTTTAAAATTTAATACATAATTAAGAAGCCGGTAACTATTTAAACTCATATGTACTTCAATATTTTATAACCGCAAATCTTTAATACTATTGTTAAAAAAATTCCAGTTTTCTGGAAATTCAATACAAAAAATGTAAAATTCCATAAATAATTGCCACATAATTTTGAAATTTCCCTAAATTCTTCGAATTTTAACAACCTATTTTTTAGTTTTAGCTATTATTTTAAATGGACGAGTCTACAGACAGCAAAATATCAAAATGCCAGGTTTTTCTTATAACAATCAAGAACATTCGATCGATTTTATTCTCTTTTACACAGTAAAATCAATTAGCACATTAAAATTTTTTCAAATTAAAATGAGAAAATTTCCCAAATTTTATTATTAAAATATTATTCATTTTATGATAAGCTAAAAATTTTTAATTATTATAGTAAATAAAAGAATTTTTTCACATTTAATTTATTAAATCACTTAATTATTTTTTAATAAAATTATTAACAGCACTATTACGATATACCAATTAGGTGTAGGTAATAATATATCAAAAGAAATCACCTTTTTTTTAACACTCAGTAAATATAAAATTTAAAAATATTTATTTTTTTCCAATTAAAATAAATGTGAACCAAAAACCAACCGAAGACAACTGAAATTGACGATGTTTTTCAATTGAGGTTTACCAATATACTCAGCTGTATTTAAATCACGTAAAAAGTTTTATTTTGTAATATTATGTCTGTTATAATGTTGGTCCTATGCTATAATATGTAAAAAAAAAAAACTGGCAAATTTTTACACCTCTCTCTCTCTGTATACATATATATGAATGTGTATATAACTATTACCATCTATTAATTTGTAATAATGTAGTGTAGCGTAACGAGAAGGAGGCATAGTGTAAATAATGCTAATGAGTATATATATTTGTAAACGTATATAATAACGTATAGTACCTATATATAATGTATCATAAAAGAATGTAAAGTGAAAAAAAATTTCGTTCCACCATCTCATAAGTTAAAAGTTTTTTTTTTTAATTTTAAATATTTTGAGTAAATTTTCAATTTTTAATTTTCAAATTTTAAAATTGTACAATGAATAATTCACGCTCACTTATGTTTTAATTTTTTACATCTATCGGGTACTCCATTTCATTTATAACCTATAAATTGAAATTCTGAAGATTTTAGTGAAAGGACTACTTTCCCGGAACAAAATTTTTACGTATTCTCTTGAAGTCTAGAAAATTTCGTGAAAACATAGTCACATCTGCTTCAACACAGTTATTGTGTTATCGTAAAAAAATATGAGCAACTGATACGTTGTCAAATTGATTATTAAAACTAATTGTTATCTCAAATTGTTTTTTTTTATGTGATCTTTCTTTTACACGGCGAATTGTTTCAGTACCAAGTTTCAACTGTCGCAAAATGCCAGTATTCAGTCCAATATTTTTACAACATTATAGGCTTTATAAAATCTCTGTGAAAACAAGAATGTAACATAATAATAATAGTCAACTAATTTTATATTCATGTATAAGGGACTTCTGAATACTATTATTAACATTGAAATTTCTCCTACAATTATGCAAAATTATTTGCTAATAAGAAGATTATTTCAATAGGATGTTGGTTTGTTTAATTAGACTCAAAGCTGTGTATAAGTATATATATATATGTAGACACCTTGCAAAGTTTATTAAAGTTGTTCCATTCACTAATAAGGTACACTGTTTTCGAATGTAATAATAATTTTGCATAACCCAATGAACGTTAATTAAATTTCATATTACGTACATATATTACATGTTTTTTGCGGAGATTAAGAGCATTTTTGTTTTTCCTGAAAAACTACCTCCCACCAAAATATTTTTTTTATTCACTCATTTTGACATCTTCGTTGTTATCTTATTTTCCTTCTGGGTATAAAAAAAAAAATACAATTTGCAAAAAAGTTGATTTCTATTTTCTCGCTCTAAGTTCTTTTGATTTGATTTCGTCTCTAACAAAATGTTGCATTGCAACACCAAAAATGTACATTAATGAACTTTATATAATATATAAATGAATGACGTATATGTGTGTATATATGACCATTATGTATCTACGTTTCTATGTACTTATTGTGATTTCAGCGGTGATGATAGTTATGACGATTTCACGTTTTTTTTTGTTTCTCTTTGCGGCGACAATATTTATTCAGTGTTCATTGTTGTGTACTTAAGAGTATTAATTGAATTTACCTGTGTAGCTAGAAATCAGGTTTACTTTATAATTGAATATGGTGGAAAAAAAAAGAAAAGCGAAAATTAAAATTTTTATTAGTGAGGGATTTAGTGATTCATTAAAATCGTATTATTGCTCTTCTATATTTTGTTTTTTTCCAATTTAAATTT